CTTGCAGCACTTTGGAAAAGTTTTATGACCTCACTTTTCACTTTCCTTCGCTTTAGGTTCTGCTCCAAATGATAGATACAAATCCCATGGTGGCTTTCAGGATATACCTTTGCAATGCCATATTTAATAGATTGATGCCTGTCCGATAAAAAAATTAAATTCTCACGGCTCCCAGTTGCATTGCGAAGCTCACTAAAGTACCACTCATAGGAATTGTTATTTTCAGATTCTGCAATTCCAAAGGCTAGTGGGAAAATTTGGTTATTTGCATCCTTTAAAACTGAAATCATTAAAACACTACGAAATTTTGACTTCAAAAAAGTTGCATCAACAGCAATCACTGGTCTACAATGATTCCAACCAGTTATTGATGATCCATATGCATAAAACATATAAAGAAACCTGAAAATACAATATAACAGAAGGTTAACAAAAGTTAAGGATAGGTAGACTAACAAAGTCAAAAGTTAAGGACGGGTTGTCCTGAACTTCAGGTTACAAGCCCAAAAGTTAAGGACAGGTAGTCCTAAAGTTAGGCTAACAAGCTCAAAATTTAAGGACACTTGATCCTTAACTAAGAGTTACAAGTTAAAAAGTTAAGGACATGTAGTCCTTAACTTAGAGTTACAAGTTAAAAAGTTAAGGACATGTAGTCCTTTACTTAGAGTTACAAGCTCAAAAGTTAAGGACATGGAGTCATGAACTTAGAGTTACAAGTTCAAAAGTTAAGGACACCATGTCCTTTATTTTTTAACTTGCAACTCTAAGTTAAGGACCAAGTGTCCTTAACTTTTTGACTGCACATATCAAAGTTAAGGACATCACGTCCTTAACTTTTTCACTGGCTAAGGACAGCATGTCCTAATGTTAATAAAACAGACTAATAATCTCTTTTTTGATTGTTTACCTGTTGTTGTCGTCTATCTTTATGTTAGTATATGTTCCCGGGTTTTTTCTTTTCATCATATACAAGTATGAAGATAATAATTCATAATTCTCTTCAGGAGTTCCTCTTATTAAAGCTGAAGCACGTTGAATAGCACGCCACACCTTGTGATACCCAATGTCTAGTCCATGCAATTTTTGCATTTCTGCCATGAAAAAAGCTGGTGTAACTTCAAACCTTGGGTCTCGAAGATTGTCAATAATGTAACCACTAATCAACTTTGAAGTTGCATGCCTTTGATCAACTTTCATAGTGTTAACTGAGCAGTCATGATTTTTCTCAATCTTTACTATCTTGAACAATGTTGAATCTTTAATTCTGAAAGAACGCACACACCACCCACACCTATCATCATTGCATTTCAACGAATATCTTGTTGAGCTTGATCTAACAACCTTGAATTCAAAATGTCTTTTAATTGCTATATTCAAAAAACAGTTAATTATACTCTTCTTTTTGTCAAATATTGATCCCACTTTTATTTCATCCAACAAAGCATTTTCTCTTAATATCGTAGTTGGGGATTCTTTTTTTTTTTTTGGTTTCAAATTTGACCTTCGTTTAGTTAGTTGAGTAGAGGTTTTTTCAGCAACTTCTTCAATAACCGGTGCACTCTCTAAGACTTGAATACCGAAAGCTTGTTCGTTGTCAATCTCTATAATGCTTTGTCCTTCTACTTGAATAGAATCAGATATTTGAAGCGCCTCTTCAGTTATTGGTTGAGCTTCAACTATATCTATTTCCATTATCTGTTGGCATTTGATTTGATTGTCATGTTGAGTTTCTCTGTTGACATGTTCAAAGGCACTTGTTGATCCACAAACTCTTTCCGAAATATCAACAATGAAACGACAGCCCTTGAAGAGTGAATGTCTTTTTAGTAACTCAATACATGTGTGAAGATCTAAATCTTTGGATACAAGCATTCCCTTACTTTTTCCAAGGTTGATATCAAACCATATCACTACTTCAAACTTGTCTCTATCCAATTCAATAACTTCAAGTATCTGTTTAATGAAATCTTGAAACTGAATTGCCTCAGGTACTAGAACAAGCTTTGTTTGATGATCAAGATACTTATAGTCTTCAGTCCATCTACCATTAAAAGCAACTATAATGCATATTGTTTCCATCCTGCAAGTCAAGAGAATGGGAAA